AAGAGAGTTAAAATGGTTAATAGATAATATACATAAATCATTACAAATTTCTTGCATCCAGTTTGAAGCAGTGATGGAATAAACTGACTTGTAATGTCTCTGGTAGCTTCCAAAGTTCATTGTGTTCCTTTTAGTTGCAAAGCCACAGTCCAGAGAATCAGAGCAGGAAAAAGACAACTTGGAGATGATGCAAGGGTCTTTTATACCCTCTGCCATGTGCTTGGAATTTTACTATCGCTAAACAAAGCTCACAGCAATTTGTGGAAAATTACCGGCACAAGATGGAGTCCAGGGTCACATGAGCAAGTCACCTGCCCGTACATGGATTGCTGACTCACAGGGGCAGCCATTGACCACTTGGAGGCTAAGTTGTCTGCAGGAAAAGCCATCTGGGTAGAATGAGTTCCTTCTATGGCCGATTGTGAGAGTTAATTGCCTTTGATGGGTCATCAACACAAAGCTGTCTGGCTTTGATGTAGGTAGTACCTGTTGGGTGTTACCCCAGGAACATATACAGGTATTGAGACACAGATATTCATAACTTCAGATACATTGATGATACCTGGATTTAAACAGGATAGTCATCTTTATGGAATCATAATTTTTCCACTGACATCTTACACGAAATATTTTGTACAAGTTTTGTTGCAATTGTCTAACAGAGGTAATATTAATTATATAAATGGTCATATTTCAATCATACAGCATCCCACTGTAGCCACCTTTCAATTCTCATATTAATCCCCATCTTCTCCAGTGTAACTAATGATTTCCCATGTGGAACTATCAAATGCATTACTGAAATCCAGGCTTATTAGCTCTACTGCATTTCCTTTACCTAAAAAAAATCAGTTATCGTCTCAAAGAGAGAGATCAGGTTGGTTAGGCAAGATCTGCCTTTTGTAAACCATGTTGTATTTTATCCCAACTACCATTTCCCTCTATGTCCTTAACTACTTTCTCTTTCAAAATTTGTTCCAAGACCTTGTGTACCACTGACATCAAACTAAAAGATCTACAGTTTCCCCTTTCTCAAAAATAGGTACTATATTAGCAATTCTCCAATCTTAGGGTACGACCCCCTGCGTTTACAGATTCATTAAAAGTCCTTGCTATTTGGTTTGCAATTTCATGTGCCAACTCCTTTAATATTCTTGGATGGAGATGATCTGGGCCCCTGATCTAGTATTGTTTAGCTGTTTAAGTTTGACTTCCACTTCAGATGTGGTATTTCTACTTCCCTATCCTCATTTCCATAGCCACTCTGCCACTACCCTTAGGCTCCTCATTATTCTTTTTTAAAACTGAGGCAAAGTATTCGTTTAGGAGTTGGGCCATGCCCAGAGTATCTTTAGTCTCCACCCCATCCTCAGGGTTTAGCGTTCACACTTATTCTTTCCTTGGTTTCTTTTTATTTATATGGCCAGGAGTATATGCAGGCTGGAAATTAGAAGACTGTTTCTAACCATCAGAGGAGTGAGGTTCCTGAACAGCCTCCCAATGGGAGTTGTGGAGTGTAAGCTGGCATGGCCATCCCTCCCCATCCGCCTTTGGGGGAGGTCACACCTGCTCTCAGTTTGACTTGTTAGAGTATTCTCCAAACAAAGGGAAAAGGGGGAATTAGCACCTCGCAACGGGCTTCGGCCTTCAAGCAGGGCAGGGCCATGAACAGTCTGGCAACCAGGAAGAGCTGTAGCAGTTCATTTGCCCAGCCTTTAAGCAGCGTGGGACAGCAAACAGTCAGGGCTGTGGCCTGCAGTAAGGCAGGAGTGAGCACCAAGCACAGTCTGTGGCGCTCAGGCAGGAGTGTCCAAGGAGTGCAGGCTTCTTGGCCTAAAGAGGGGGAGTACTGCCACCTCCGGGGTGGGGTGGCAGAGAGGATGTGGGCCCTCCCCATTCCATCACATCCCAGCCCAGGGCCCTAACAGTAGCAGAAGTGATCTTCCACTGGGTCAGCAGGGATCCACCCACAACATGCTAACCTTGTATCAGGCCAGTTCTCAAGGATTGAGTTTACAACCCTGGGCTTAGCAGGCCAATGCTCAAACCACTGAGCTACCCCTCCCCCTTGCAAAACATAACATTTTCCCATATACATCATCTAAGTTCCAATAGACAACTTTAAAATATATGCAGCTCATTTGCATAAGAAAACTATAAATAAAGAGAGGAGCAGTCATTTTAACTAAGTTGTTATTGATCTGGAGAGCAGACGGAACTGTCAAAATGCCTGAGCCAGCAAAATACTCCCTGCTCTGAAAAAGGGCTGTAAAGAAAGCCATAACTAAGACTCAGAAGAAGGGGGACAAGAAATGTATCTATGCGCATGAAGTGTTCATAGAGTCATAGTTTTGAAAGCCAGAAGAACCATTTTGATCATCTAGTCTGATATCCTCTATAACAGGCCATAGAACTTCTCCAAAACAGTAAAAGAACTAAAAAAGAGCCACCGTGGCTTAACAACCATGTAAAAGAAGCAGTGAGAGATAAAAAGACTTCCTTTAAAAAGTGGAAGTCAAATCCTAGTGAGACAAATAGAAAGGAGCATAAACGCTGCCAAATTAAGTGCAAGAATGTAATAAGAAAAGCCAAAGAGGAGTTTGAAGAACGGCTAGCCAAAAACTCCAAAGGTAATAACAAAATGTTTTTTAAGTACACCAGAAGCAGGAAGCCTGCTAAACAACCAGTGGGGCCCCTTGATGATCGAGATACAAAAGGAGCGCTTAAAGACGATAAAGTCATTGCGGAGAAACTAAATGGATTCTTTGCTTCAGTCTTCACGGCTGAGGATGTTAGGGAGATTCCCAAACCTGACCTGGCTTTTGTAGGTGACAAATCTGAGGAACTGTCACGGATTGAAGTGTCACGAGAGGAGGTTTTGGAATTAATTGATAAACTTAACATTAACAAGTCACCGGGACCAGATGGCATTCACCCAAGAGTTCTGAAAGAACTCAAATGTGAAGTTGCGGAACTGTTTAAGGTTTGTAACCTGTCCTTTAAATCGGCTTCTGTACCCAATGACTGGAAGTTAGCTAAAGTAACGCCAATATTTAAAAAAGGCTCTAGAGGTGATCCCGGCAATTACAGACCGGTAAGTCTAACGTCTGTACCAGGCAAATTAGTCGAAACAATAGTTAAGAATAAAATTGTCCGACACATAGAAAAACATAAACTGTTGAGCAATAGTCAACATGGTTTCTGTAAAGGGAAATCGTGTCTTACTAATCTATTAGAATTCTTTGAAGGGGTCAACAAACATGTGGACAAGGGGGATCCAGTGGACATAGTGTACTTAGATTTCCAGAAAGCTTTGACAAGGTCCCTCACCAAAGGCTCTTATGTAAATTAAGCTGCCATGGGATAAAAGGGAAGGTCCTTTCATGGATTGAGAACTGGTTAAAAGACAGGGAACAAAGGGTAGGAATAAATGGTAAATTCTCAGAATGGAGAGGGGTAACTAGTGGTGTTCCCCAAGGGTCAGTCCTCGGACCGATCCTATTCAACTTATTCATAAATGATCTGGAGAAAGGGGTAAACAGTGAGGTGGCAAAGTTTGCAGATGATACTAAACTGCTAAAGATAGTTAAGTCCAAAGCAGACTGTGAAGAACTTCAAAAAGATCTCACAAAACTAAGTGATTGGGCAACAAAATGGCAAATGAAATTTAATGTGGATAAATGTAAAGTAATGCACATTGGAAAAAATAACCCCAACTATACATACAATATGATGGGGGCTAATTTAGCTACAACAAGTCAGGAAAAAGATCTTGGAGTCATTGTGGATAGTTCTCTGAAAATGTCCACGCAGTGTGCAGAGGCGGTCAAAAAAGCAAACAGGATGTTAGGAATCATTAAAAAGGGGATAGAGAATAAGATTGAGAATATATTATTGCCCTTATATAAATCGATGGTACGCCCTCATCTCAAATACTGCGTACAGATGTGGTCTCCTCATCTCAAAAAAGATATACTGGCACTAGAAAAGGTTCAGAAAAGGGCAACTAAAATGATTAAGGGTTTGGAACGGGTCCCATATGAGGAGAGATTAAAGAGGCTAGGACTCTTCATCTTGGAAAAGAGGAGACTAAGGGGGGATATGATCGAGGTCGATAAAATCATGAGTGATGTGGAGAAAGTGGATAAGGAAAAGTTATTTACTTATTCCCATAATACAAGAACTAGGGGTCATCAAATGAAATTAATAGGCAGCAGGTTTAAAACAAATAAAAGGAAGTTCTTCTTCACGCAGCGCACAGTCAACTTGTGGAACTCCTTACCTGAGGAGGTTGTGAAGGCTAGGACTATAACAGAGTTTAAAAGAGAACTGGATAAATTCATGGTGGTTAAGTCCATTAATGGCTATTAGCCAGGACAGGTAAGGAATGGTGTCCCTAGCCTCTGTCTGTCAGAGGGTGGAGATGGACGGCAGGAGAGAGATCACTTGATCATTGCCTGTTAGGTTCACTCCCTCTGGGGCACCTGGCATTGGCCACTGTCGGTAGACAGGATACTGGGCTAGATGGACCTTTGGTCTGACCCGGTACGGCCTTTCTTATGTTCTTATGTTCTAACTAAGTTGAAGTAAGTTCACCTGGACACTGGCATCTCTTCTAAGGCCATGGGTATTATGAATTCCTTTGTAAACTACATCTTCGAACACATTGCTGGAGAAACATCTCACTTGGTGCATTACAAAAAGTGCTCAACCATTACTTCCCGGAAGATCCAAAGCAGCGTGTGCCTGCTGCTTCAAGGGGAGTTGGCCGGACACGACTTTGTCTAGGGGTACAAAGGCTGTTACCAAGTGCACCAGCTCTAAGTAAAGGTCTGTTGAAAGCATGTTAACGTCTGTAACCCAAAGGCTTTTTTCAGGACCACCCACCTTCTTGGCAAAAGAACTTTAGCTCTAAAACATGCATTGCTTCTTTACATACACACTCTGCTTTACATTAGTCACTGAGTGGTACTGGTAATATTATATTAAATCAGCTGAACATGGGTTCCCAGTGTGATGCTGTGGCCAAAAAGGCTACTGCAATCCGTGAATATATAAACAGAGGAATCTCAAGTAATCATAGGGAGCTTATAGGACCTCAGTGTTTGGCACTGGTATGACTGTTGCTGGAATAATGTATCCAGTTCTGGTAGCCACAATTCAAGAAGGGTGTTGATAAATTGTAGAGGTTCAGAATAATTAATAGATTGGAAAACATGCCTTAGAGATAAACGTTAGGTGCTCAACTATTTACCTTAACAAGAGAAGGTTAAGGGGTGACTGTATCACAGTCTCTGAGTATGTACATGAGTAACAAATATTTATAATGGGCCCTTCAATCAAGCAGAGAAGGGCATAACATGATCCAATGTCTGGAAGTTGAAGCTAGACGAATTCAGCCTGGAAATAAGGTGTACATTTTTAACAGTGGGCATAATTAACCACTTGAAAACCTACCAAAGGTTGTGGTGGATTCTCCTGTAATGTGGCAGAGAAAGGTCTAACAGAATGTGTTCTGGTTCAAACAGAATTAAATCTAGTCTGACCTTGCGTATAACACAGGCCAGAGAACTGCTCCCAAATAATTCCTAGAGAAAAGAATCCAACCTTGATTTAAAAATTGTCGATGATGGCGAATTCCCCACAATCCTTGGTAAATGGTTCCAGTGGTTAATTATTCTCACTGTTAAACATGTATATCTTATTTCCAGTCTGAATTTGTCTAGCTTCAACTTCCAGCCATTGGAGCATATTAGACCTTTCTCTGCTAGACTGAAGAGCTTATTATTCAATATTTCTTACCCATGTAGATACTTATAGACTGTAATCAAGTCACTCCTTAACCTGCTCTTTGTTAAACTAAATAGATAGACTCAAAGAGCTCAATCACAGTAAAGCAGGTTTTCTAATCCCTTAATCAATCTCCTGGCTCTTCTCTGACCCCTCTCCAATTTTTCAACAGCCTTCTTGAATTGCGGGCACCAGAACTGCACATCATATTCCAGCTGCGGTCTCAACAGTGCCAAATTCATCCCAGGATCACATTAGCTCTTTTGGCCACAGTGTCACACTGGGAGCTCATGTTCAGCTGATTATTCACCACGACCCCCAAATATTTTTCAAATTCTCTGCTTCCCAGGTTAGTGTCCCCCATCCTGTAGGTATGGCTGACATTCTTTATTTCTAGAGGTATATGTAAAACCATACCAACCCCCCAAAGATCAGCAATAGATTTGAATCATAGAATATCAGGGATGGAAGGGACCTCAGAAGATCATAGAGTCCAACCCACTGCTCGAAGCAGGACCAATCCCCAGACAGATTTTTGACCCAGATCCCTAAATGGCCCCCTCAAGGATGGAACTCACAATCCTGGGTTTAGCAGGCCAATGCTCAAACCACTGAGCTATCCCTCCCCCCTTTGATCTAATTTATATTTTAGACCAGCAGTGTCCAATACGTTCGCCACTAGCCACATGTAGCTTATAGGCTATTGAATTGTGGCTAATGCATGTGGCTTTTTTATAATGTGGCTAATAAGAAAAATTCAAAACCACAAGTGTGGCTAGCATCGAATTTCTATTGGACACCACATTACAGGAGTGAGGACTTGATACACTTTCCGAGTGTGTTACACAACTATTTACTCGTCAGCAACAGACTATTGGTTATAAGGAATCCTGGATTCTACCTGTGGCCATGGGGGAGGAGTGGAGATTATAGTGGTTGGGGTAGAATGTCCCAATCTGCTGTAATCTGTTTGAAAAGGAAATTGGTGCACAGGATAAAACTGGGGTTCGCTAAACTAGTTCGAGAGCTGGATTTTGGGCCTGCCTTGACTTTCCATAAGCTCTCTGCTAGAGCTACTCAAAACTCTGAATTTCCATGTTGCAGGATGTTGCAAAACTTGTTTTCACTCTGAATTTTCTCTTAGTTTGTGGAGTGTTTTCATTTTTATATCTTTATTGTTTTTACCTTATTTCATGACGTCAGAAATAGTCATGCACACGAAGCCAAACTGTTCCACTGTAACATAACCAGGAGACACTTTGATCCAGAAAGAAGATAAGATTGTTCAATTAGTAATATGCAGCAGCTGATCTTACTGATTTAAAATAAATATGATAGAATATTTCAACTATTATGTTATGACATGTCAGTAATAGTGGTGCTTTTTAAACAGCTCTTTAAGGGTTAAAACATTTTTTATTCCAGAAAGAGAACTCCTAAATAATCTCTGCTCTGTGAATGTTGCAGTGATGTGTCAATTCTCTCCTATTTGTTCCAACAGCCCCAGACAATGGTGACCACGAACTGAAAATCATCCTTCTTGGTAAAACTGGAGCTGGGAAAAGTGCAACAGGGAACACCATCCTGGGCCAGAAAGTATTTGACTCCAAACTCAGTGTGAGGCCAGTAACTGAGAAATGTGTTAAAGGGAGCAGGAGCTGGAATGGGAGGGAGGTGGTGGTTATCGATACTTCTGCCATTTTGGACACAAAGGTACCTGACAAAGAAACCTCCCAGGAGATCTGTCGCTGTGTTGTGCTCTCCTCTCCAGGCCCCCACACCCTGGTGCTGGTGACCCAGCTGGGCCGTTACACTGAGGAAGACAAGGACGCTGTGCGGCGAGTGCAAGAGATTTTTGGAGATAAGGTAATGAAATATGTCATTACCTTATTCACCCGAAAGGAAGATTTAGGGGATGGCTCATTGAGTGACTATGTAACACATTCAGATAATCGAGATCTTCAAAGGCTGATTGATGAGTGTGGGAACCGATACTGCGCTTTCAACAACAAAGCAACAGGAGCAGAACAGGATGCCCAGGTTGAAGAGCTGATGGGACTGATGGAGAGAATGGTACAGGAGAATAGAGGCCGATATACAAATGAGTCTTACCAATATGTTGAGAAGATGCTCCAATTCAAAATGGATGAGTTACAGAAAATGTACAGAGAAGAGATGGAAAGAAAGAGAGAAGAAATAATACAGTGTTTTACAGAGAACTGTAAGACGATAAAGGAAGAGTCAAACCTGAGAGAAGAGGAATTAAAGGAAAAACTTGAGAAACAGGAGAAGGTTAAAGAAGATGCTTTCCTGCAGCTGAAGCACATGGAACAAAAAGAAATGGAAACCATAGAGCAAAAGCTGCTGAAAGAGTTGGAAGGAATACAGAAAAGTTATGAGAAAAAACAAAAACAAATCAGAGAAGAAGCTGAGAATGGTTTTAGCATAGTGAGTATGATTTGGGAAATGGGTCTTTGGGTATATTCATATTTCCCAAACTGGGATACATTTAGCAATTATTTTCCATCCTTGTGGTGAATGAATTATGTTTCTTTGCATTTCCCCCTGTGGTTTAATCTGATTTGTTATTGATGAAGTTTCACCCCGTTGTGACTCTACAGTCTTTGAAATGTCATGTCTAGTTCTTCTGTTAACTTCACAGTCAGAGTAGCATGGGACAACTGAATAAACATGAATAAAATCATCCATAAATATGTATTTCTTATTATGCTGAAATGGAAATAGCTCAGTCAGTCAGAGAACAGGGATGCTGTCCTGTCACTGAAGTGTACCGACATTTTTTCCTAATTATGAAATACCCATAACCAATCACAGAGTAGGGTAAGTTATTTCCATAACCATTCTATGGTTATTTCTCATTAACAGTATTAAACAAATCCCTGCACTGATTGGCTAATAATGACGGTGAGTCAATTGATTTGACATAGTCTTTCATGAAACTCTGCTGAAAAAACCATTAATTCTATGCAAAATCATTGCTGCCAATATTAACTGAATTAAAAACTGGTTAATGGATCACAAGACTTAACTCTCCATAAGGAATCATCATCCTTGGTCGTATTTCTAGTGGAATTCTACAGGGACCTGTTCTTGGCCCAGTGCTATACAGGATCTTTTTAATCAATTTAGAAATATTGCTGGTAAAATGAGCAGATGACACAAAAGGTGGTGGAGTGACAAATAATGATACTGGATTAGAGAGTATGCTTATAACATTTGCAGATGACACCGAGCTGGGAAAGGTTGCAAGCACTTTAGAGGACAGGTTTAAATGACCTTGATAAATTGGAGAATTGGTCCGAATTCAACACGATGAAATTCAATAAAAATGAAGACAAGTGCAAAGTACTTCACTTAGGAAGGAAAAATCAAATGCACAACTCCCAAATGGGGAATAACTGTCTAGGTGGTAGTAGTGCTGAAAAGGATCTGGGCGATTATAGTGGATCACAAACTGAACACAAGTCAGCAATGGAACACAGCTGCCAGAAAGGCTCATGCGATTCTGGGGTGCATTAACAGGAGTGTCGTATGTAAGACACAGGAAGTAACTGTCCTGCTCTCCTCGGCAATGCTGAAGCCCCAGCTGGAGTCCTGTGTCCAATTCCGGGCACCACAATTCAGGAAAGATGTGGACAAATAGGGGAGAGTCTAGAGCAGTAGAGCCCTGCGTGGATACAAAACGGATATCCATGGATGTGGATATCCCCGAATCGAAATCATAGATCAGTGGAGCTGCAGGACTCTACAGTGAATTGCAGCAGCGAAAGCAGCAGCATGTCGGGCTGCTGCTCCCAGAAGCCAGCGCCCTGCACCAGCAGCTCCTCCAGCGTGGCTGTGCCACCCCCTAGCCTGGGCAGTAATCCCTTCCATTCAGCAGTCTGTGTCTCCTGTCCAGAGGTGTGCAAGCCACTTGCACACACTAGTGTGAATAGGGACAGCTGTCAGTGAGCCTGGTTCCAGCCCCAGTGAGTGGGGCTGGGGGCGGTACAGCCACGCCGGAGGAGCTGCCAGCACGGGGCGCTGGTTCCTGGGGGTAGTGGACTGACGTTCTGCTGCTTTCCCCACTGTGGTTCCCAGTAGAGCCCTGAAGCTCTGCTAATATCTGATTATCGCATCCACAGATATACATTTTGTATCTGTGAGGGGCTCTACAAAGCAGAGCAAGAACATATTGTATTCATATTTGCAATGAAAGCATGACCATTTCTAGCTGACTCCTAGATTTGTTTAGCATGTTAAAGCTGAGCTATGTGTGCAGATAGTATGCATGCGAGAGGGATCTTTAATTATTAAGGGTTTTTTTACATATAGGGCTTTTATCCAAAGCACTTTACAATAGTTAGCTAATGGTACAAACATCATTTGGAAGGATCATTGAGTGATCCCCTGAGCCCCTCAACAATTTTCAAGTAGTCCGTGAAAAAAAAGTGTGAGAACCACTGATCTAGAAGAAAAAAGGATCTGAGATCCAATGGCTGGAAGTCAAATTTATAACCATTCAGACTAGAAATAAAGCACAAAGTTTTAGTCTTGAGGGTTATTAACCATTGGGACAATTTCCCCCGGGATATGGTGCATCTTCTAAAAGATACATTATAGATTAAACAGAAGTGATGGGTTTGATGCAGAAATTACTGGGTGAGGCTCTATGGCCTGTGCCATTCAGGAGGGCAAACTAGTCGATCATCACCGTCCCTCCTGGCCTAAGATCTATGGATTTATGAATTCAGGCCCAAGGATTTGCCTAATTACTTAATGGAAATTTTCAGTAAGATTCAGGCTCAGATCTCCAAAGGTATTTAGGTACCTAACACCCATTGGTATCAGTGAGAGTTAGGCACCTTCATACCTTTGAGGACACTTTTTAAGCTCCTAAATTTATATGAAAATGAAGAAAAAAATACCAAAGAACAAAGGAAATGGGGCTGGTAAATTGCTGAAATTAAAACAGCTTTTTAAACGAGGTTAATAAAAAATATCATTTTTTTTTATTCATTTCCTCCGGTGGTCCTGCTTCTTCTCTGAAGTCAATGAGAGCTTTTGTTTTGATTTCAATGGAAGCAGGGCTCAGAAACCCACACCAGAGCATCACTGAATATACTGTCTTGTTCTCCAGTGTCTCCGCTTTTTTTTTTTTATTTTAAAAAGAAGGTCTCTAGCTGCTATGGTTGCAGATTAAAACCTTAAAATGTAATGATGCAGCAACATCTGCCTGATTCTGCCGCAGAGCCTGGAACAATAGCTTTGAAAGGTGTGAACCACCATATGCATCTCAGAGACATGTTAGCTCAGATGCCCAGTCATGGCGATTTAAATGTCAGCATAGTCAACTTTCACTCCATGTGTAAGAAGAAAGGGGAGAGTCACAAACGTGCACCATTTCCTGTGAGTGATGTCTTATTTTGGTGAGACAAGGGGGTGACATATGGGAGATGTTATCACTTTTTCCCCCCACTCAAGGAGCCAAACCCAAGGAGCCCAGAAACGTCCTTGGGCATACTCAAGCTCTGCCATGTGGGAACCAAGCTTGTTGAGCTCAGCGGAGTCCAGTGATACACACCATCACATTTCGCACAATACACTGGGAGTGGTGCCTCATTCTGGTAACTCACCTGAGCCGAGGTTATTTGGTGGAGGGATCTTGCAAGAGAGCCACCACATCCCTTTCCCCCAATCTGACTTCTGAATGGAAGCAGCATTAGGGGATTTCTATGATCCTTCTTTCTCCCATATTTATTTTCTCTCTTCTCTATCAGGCATTTGTCTTCACAATAATTGCCAAATATTTGTGTTTGCTTTGTTTGTTTCAACAAGAAAATCTCAAACTCACCCTCCCTGTCATGCAAAAGTAATGTGAACAAAAATATATTGTCTCTTGTGACTGATATGGTAATTTCCTGGACAAACTGTACTGAATTATGTGAAGTCTTACTATGTTATGTTTATGTATCACTGTGGGACAGAGATTATATTTAATTCCATGAGGGATGGGAACCAAAATCCCTCCAGGAACTAACACCGTGAGGAGTGATTAGGAAAATTCACTCAGGTTCTAACTCCTCCCAAGAGGCACCACCGCCTTGAAATACTCACATCTATTGGTTCCAGCTGGATTCTCTCGAGACCAGAAGACAAAGATGAGTCATTAAGCTGAGTTTAAACTGACTCAGAGCCTTCTTCCTGATCCAGCAAATGGACAAGACCTTTGGTCCACGGAGGGCCCCAATCCTTAGGGAAGCTTGGAAGGACTTTGGCTTCTGAGGCCCCATTACTCATGAATGAGCTTGTTCTGAGTATAAACTTTTTGGAACTTGTGACAACAACAAAAACCCTGAGTGGGGTTTGAAGAACTGTTCCCTGGTCAGAGACCTGGTGGGAGTTAGGGTGATCTCGGGTAAGTTTATCAGCATATGTGCAGGTTCTTTTGTTGTTTTTTCTGTAATGATTTTACCTTAACAATAAATGTGCTTGCTTGGAACGAGCTGAGTGGTAACTTAACTGCAGGGAATTACACTGTTTACCCTCTCTGAGGAGAAAAGCAAAGCGGGTCTGCTTAGGCAGTCTGACTTTGCTGGGGAAAGAAAGTCACAGTAGAGTCAGGGGACTGTGCTGCCTGGAAATACCAGTCAGGAGGGACAGAGATAGAGGTATCTACTCAAGAGACGTGATGGTTGACGAGCCTGGAGTCTAGAGTGGGTATCCAGACAGGAGTTTTGCCAACTTAGCTATTTTGTCACTAGATTTAGCAACTTTTTGGTTTCCCTAGTGAAGAAAGAAGTGTCAAAGTGACTAGTGATAAAGCTAGCAACTTTGCCGATTACAATGACATTCAGAGAAAGAAGTCACCAATATGTATAGTCATAAAATCATTCACAAGCAGCTCACTGGTGTTAATAAAATCCATTCCATGCTCTCCTCACTACATTCTGTTGCACACTGTAGCGGGGCAGTGACTCAACCTGCGGTGCCTCCTGCTGGTCGTTCGGGAATTAGCTCACCACCTGTCGGAGCGCCCTCTGCAGGCTGATGTGCCGCTGGCCCCTGTGTCCCTCCCAGACCCCGGTGCCCCTTTCCTGGGGTTCTGCACCCTTGCAGTACCCCGCAGTCTCGGTGGGTCTCCCCTCCCCAGGGAACCCCCAGCCCCCTATCCCCACCTCGCCTCAGTATAGGGCTACTGCCAGTCACCATCTAGCCCCCGCTCACTGGGGCGGACTGCAGTATAATTGCCACTCATCACAGTCAAGGGGGGTTTGGACCTGCTGCCTCCACCTACCCTTGGACTGCCCCCTGCAACCCCAGTACCTATTTGGCCTTACACTAGGCCACAGCCTGGGAGGTTTCCAGGCCGGAGCTCCCCAGCTCCTCTGGTGTCCCCCCAAGCCCTGCTCCAGTCTAGGTACCCTGCTCAGCTCCCAGCAGCCAGGTCCCTCCCTCTCAAAAGGCTAGAGAGAGAGTGTCTCTGTGCTTCTGACCCACTGCCCTCTTATAAGGGCCAGCTGGGCCCTGATTGGGGCATGGCCCCAGCTGGGCCTTTTCCCCCAATCAGCCTGGGCTGCCTGCCCCAGCCCCAGCCCGCCCCTGGGCTGTTTTAAGCTCTTTAGGGCAGGAGCGGGTGACCACCCCGCTACACACACCAAGTCAATGTCATTACATCTCAATTGAGCGTGTCCTCGGGAGGAATCACATTCCAGGGCTTCCTAGGCTGAGATTGCTATAATCTGTAGGTGAGGAAAGGAAGGTTGTGGAGGCTAATTAAATATTTTGCAAAAGCCAGGCGCACTTTGGAGAGAGCAGCACATTTTTATCCAAATATTGTTTCTCGCTGCTCCATAGTAGGATCGAAGGTGGATCTAGCTTGATTTCAGCTCCCTTTACTCCTTCCCCTGGCTTGGCCAGAGGTTAGCTGCCCAGCTGTTTTCAGAAATCAAACTTAAACTGCTCCTGAGACTGCCACTCCTCTTGGAATCGCTGACCGTGGGCTGCTTTGTGTTTTGACGTCTGTTTCGGATAGACCGCAACAATTATTATTACTTAAACACTTTTTTTTTTTTTGCATTTTGCATGTTGCTTTCTGTAACTATCACTGCGGCCTACAAGCAGAAACAACGACAACAGCACACCGCCATCATCAGGAGGGCACCCTCTGCTCATTGGGAAGGGTGCTCTGTACATTGCAGCCCAGGTCAGCTGTGGTAGGTTCACTTCAGCCGAGCTTCCGTGTCTTGCCAGCCTGGATTTGAGCTGGCAGGTTGATGAAAGGGAGAGCTCAGAGCTTGGGGGAAGATGGTATTCATCTGGCCTGAGCTCAGCACTGCAGGGAGCCAAGAAAAAAGATCTAATAGAACTGTAGGACTGGGAGGGACCTCAAGAGGTCAACTAGTCCAGCCCCCTGCACTCATTGCAGGACTAAGTACTATCTAGATCATCCCTGACGGTTTGTCTAAACTGCTCTTAAAAATCTCCAAAATCCAGCTTGGGGGTTTGGCTGGAGCCCATTGTTCTTGTATAGGCGCTTCCTTTCCCAAAAGGCTCCCCAGTTCCTAACAAACCTAAACCCCTCCTCCCTACACCATCATCTCAACCCCCATACATTGAGACCCTACAATTCCGCCTGTGTAACTGGCCCTCCCCATGGAACTGGGAGCATCTCAGAGAATGTTACCATGGAGGTCCTGGACTTTAATCCTTACCTAGCAGCCTAAATCTGGATTCCAGGACTTCTCTCCTACCTTTCCCTATGTCATTGGTACTTTCAAGTACCCAAACCACCGGGATCATTTCCCTCCACTCTAGCTTCATGTTCTCCTTCCCTGAGGCTTTCATCCCCCTCAGCAGCACAGACGCTGTCAGGCCGGGGATGGGACCACGCTACTGTGTCCCTGAAAGTCTCATCTATACCCCTCTGTCACTCTTAGCTCCTCCAGTTCAGCCACTCTGGCCTCCAGAGCCTGTACGTGGTCTCAGTGGGCCAGGAGCAGCTTTCACTGAATGCACACATAGGCCACCTGCCCACAGGGCAGAAACTTGTACACGCTGCATTCAGAGCAATACGTTGGATGGCCCCCGCTCTGCTGCTGGAGTCTGCCTGCATTATATTTACCCTGGCGGGGGGGGGGGCTGTGTTTGTTCTTTGTGTTTTGGGGGGTTATTGGTCCAAATGTAGAGTATGTTTGTTAGGTGTATCTGTGTCTCACACTCCCTTGCAAAACTCCCCTGTTTGCTGAGGAGCTGCTTTTTAAACTCTGTTCTCCCTGAGTTAGAGGGTGTAGGGATCGAAGGATGGCAGCTGGAGCTCATTAGTAAACTCTCAGCCTATCCTGGCAGACTGCTTGGCTCAGCTCACAGCCCTCAAACAGACCATATTATACACTTCAATCCAGCAGGCACACACTGAGCAAGCACACCACATACAAACAAACTAACAGACAACAAACTCATCCCAAAAGTCACCTCATCACTCCTCCGTCACCTGGAGAACTCCCTTGCAAAATTCTCCTGTTTGCCACTCCTGTTCAGTAGCTATGCTTTGGATATGTCTGTTATTTGTTCTACAAATTCCTCATCCACCTCCTCCTTGTTCTGATTGGGCGGCCTATAGGAGACCCCCCTACAATGACATCACCCCTGCTTTCCACACCCTCTTTTGTCTTCAACCAGAGACTTTCACCAGGAGTACCTCTCACTTTCCTCTGGACCTTAGAACAGGGTATATTGCTAGGGTACCAGAGGGATGGGTTCTTGGCCCAACACTATTTATGAGTTTTTCCAGTGATCTGGCAGAAAATACAATACCATTGTTGGTAAAATTTGCATATAACTGAGATCAGTGAAGTGAAATAAAATAAGGACAGGTCTATGTTACAGAGCAATCTGTATCACTTCATATACTGGGTGCAATCAAACAGCATGCATTTTATATGGTCAAATGGAAGGTCAGGCATCTAGGAACAAAGAACGTAGGCCATATTTACAGGATGGGGGATGATATCAAAGAAGTATCATCACTGAAAAGGACTGGGGGTCCATGTTAGATAATCAACTGAACATGACCTTCCAGTGCAAAGATGTGGTCAAATGAGCTATTCGGATCCTTGGATGCATGAACTGGGGAATCTCAAGTAGGAATAGAGTTTATATTACCTCGGCATATGGCATTGTTGAGACCACTACTGGAATACTGTGTTTACACTTCAAAAATGATGTTGGAAAGAACATAAAGGTTCAAAGAAGAGTCATGAGAGTGATTCCATATCTGGAAACATGCCTCACAATGAAAGTCTTAAGAAGCTCAAACTATTACCTTATCAAAGAGTAGATTAAGAGATGTCTTGATCACAATTTCTAGGACTAGAATAACAAGTTATAGGTATGACAAGATCCTATGACTGGAAGCAAAAGCTAGACAAATTCAGACTGGAAATAAGGCACACATTTTTAAGAGAGAGGTTAATCAAGCACTGGAACAACTAAGCTTCTGTACCCAATGACTGGAAGATAGCTAATGTAACGCCAATATTTAAAAAGGACTCTAGAGGTGAGCCCGGCAATTACAGACCGGTAAGTCTAACGTCCGTACCGGGCAAATTAGTTGAAACAATAGTAAAGAATAAAATTGTCAGGCACTTAGAAGAACATAAATTGTTGGGCAAAAGTCAATATGGTTTCTGTAAAGGGAAAACATGTCTTACTAATCTATTAGAGTTCTTTGAAGGGGTCAACAAACATGTGGACAAGGGGGATCCAGTGGACATAGTGTACTTAGATTTCCAGAAAGCGTTTGACAAGGTCCCTCACCAAAGACTCTTATGTAAATTAAGTTGTCATGGGATAAGAGGAACAGAGGGTCCTGTGGCACCTTTAAGACTAACAGAAGTATTGGGAGCATAAGCTTTCGTGGGTAAGAACCTCACTTCTTCAGATGCAAGCTTTCACTGGGATAAGAGGAAAGATCTTTTCACGGCTTGAGAACTGGTAAAAAGACAGGGAATAAATGGTAAATTTTCAGAATGGAGAGGGGTAACTAGTGGTGTTCCCCAACGGTCAGTCCTAGGATCAATCCTATTCAACTTATTCATAAATGATTTGGAAGGAGTAAACAGTGAGATGGCAAAGTTTGCAGATGACAATAAACTATTCAAGATAGTTAAGACCAAAATAGACTGTGAAGAACTTCAAAAAGATCTCACAAAACTAAGTGATTGGGCAACAAAATGGCAAATGAAATTTAATGTGGATAAATGTAAAGTAATGCACATTGGAAAAAATAACCCCAACTATATATACAATATGATGGGGGCTAATTTAGCTACAACTAATCAGGAAAAAGATCTTGGAGTCATCGTGGATAGTTCTCTAAAGACATCCACACAATGTGCAGTGGCAGTCAAAAAAGCAAAGAGGATGTTAGGAATCATTAAAAAAGGGATAGAGAATAAGACTGAGAATATCTTATTGCCCTTATATAAATCCACGGTGCGCCCACATCTTGAATACTGCATACAGATGTGGCCTCCTCATCTCAAAAAGAAGATACTGGCATTAGAAAAGGTTCAGAGAAGGGCAACTAAAATGATTAGGGGTTTGGAACAGGTCCCATATGAGGAGAGACTAAAGTGGCTAGGACTTTTTAGCTTGGAAAAGAGGAGACTAAGAGGGGATATGATAGAGGTATATAAAATCATGAGTGGTGTGGAAAAAGTGAATAAGGAAAGGTTATTTACTTGTTCCCATAATATAAGAACTAGTGGCCACCCAATGAAATTAATGGGCAGCAGGTTTAAAACAAATAAAATAAAGTTCTTCTCCACACAGTGCACAGTCAACCTGTGGAACTCCTTGCCTGAGGAGGTTGTGAAGGCTAGGACTATAACAGAGTTTAAAAGAGAACTGGATAAATTCATGGAGGTTAAGTCCATTAATGGCTATTAGCCACGATGGGTAAGGAATGGTGTCCCTAGCCTCTGTTTGTCGGAGGGGGGTGATGGATGGCAGGAGAGAGATCACTTGATCATTACCTATTGGATTCACTCACTCTGGGGCACCTGGCATTGGCCACTGTCGGTAGACGGGATACTTGGCTGGATGGACCTTTGGTCTGACCCAGTACGGCCATTCTTATGTTCTTATGTTCTAAGTGGATTCTCCATCTTTAAATCAGGATCGGATGTCTTTGTAAAATGGATGGTCTAATTCCAGTACAAGTTATTTGGCTTGATGTAGAAATCACTGGGTGAAGTTCTATGTTCTGCATTAACAACGAGGACTCCTGTGGCACCTTAAAGACTAACAAATTTATTTGGGCATAAGCTTTCGTGGGCTGGAACCTGCTTTGTCAGATGTTCTGCATTGTGCATGAAGTCAGACTAGATCATCAAAATGTCCCTTTGGCCTTAAAATCCATGACAGGACTCTCCGGTAAGCTTTGACAGCTATGAAAGTTGAAGTGGTAGGAATTAGCTACTGGAGAGTGTGAAACAGGGAACGTTTGGGTGGAGGAGAGACCACAGCCCTGGATTAGAATCCGAGGGCCAGAATTCAGAGGAAGGGCTGGGCCTCCCCTACAGCCCCACCTGTTCCTTATCACTTACTTATGTGATCTCCTCCTAGATCCCTATTTGCTTCCTCCTCTCTGCCAATTCTGCCCCCTACCAGCCGCCTGCTCCCTTTTCTCCTCTCTCAGGAGTTGACTCTTTCCTGACACCGAGCTGTCTGGAATACTCTGCCCACCTAGCTGGACTTCTCTGCTTTCCCAGTCCATCTTAAAATGGAGGTCAAAACCCAGCACTTCTCTCCTCCCTACTATCAGAGAGCTGTTTACCAGTTCCTCACACCTCTTCCCTCCTCGCCTTTTCCACTGTTTCCCCCCATACACCCTTCCACTTTTATACTGCAGCGTTCCCATTATTGTAACTGCCAGGAAATGGGAGAGAGCTGTGTGAATAACACTGTAAAATGCTAATTGTAAAATGTGTGATCTGAAATACATGTCTATCATTTCCGATGCTGGGACGTCTAAAAGGGCAGGCTGAGAGGAAAAATCATCTTGTTTGCGATGAAATATAGCTAGATATGTCGCTGTTCACGTCTTTCT